CCATGGAAATGTAAACATGGGTTTCTATTAGACTTGTCTCGAAGCAAATGTTAGTGGTACAGAGAGCCTGGGACACAGGAGACAGATTATGTAAAAAAAAAAAAAATGCATCCTCTAAGTGCTGGAGTGACCCTAGGAGTTCAGACCCTGAGTGATCTCATCCTGCCTCACGGCTTTAAATATCAACCATGCACTGAGGCCTCTCCAATTTATATCTGCAGCTGGACCTCTCCTCTAAGATCTAAACTCCTGCACCTGCCTTCCTGACCCTTCAGCTGGACCTCTCCTCTAAGATCTAAACTCACACACCTGCCTTCCTGACCCTCCAGCTGGATGTCTAATAGGCACCTCAAATCTCACGCGTCTATCCTACGCCCCTGATAATGCCCTCCCTCTACCCACTTCGCTCTGCTCACAATCTCCCGTATCTCAGCAGTGGTCAAGTCCCCTTCCGCCTGCAGAGGCTGCAGAACTTGGAGTAATCCTTGGCCTGTCTTATACTTCTCAGCAAATCCTGCCAGCTCTGCTTTCAAAATGCACTGAAAAGATGCTCGCTTCTTCCCACTTGCACTGCTTTCGAGCTAGGTTCTTCTCGCCTAGGTGTCTGTGATCATCTGAACCGGTCCCCCTGCCTCTGCCCTCGCCTTTCTTCAGTCCACTCTCATACATAGCTCCCAGGGGGATTATATTAAAATGTAAGTCAGATTATGTCACTTCTGTGCTCAAGTTTGCCAACGGATTTCCCTCTCAATCAGGTTATGACCCAACATCCTTAATCATCAGTGTTCTTCAGCCACGCTGAACGCCTTGTCCTTCACTGATCGTAAGAGCATGCTCCCGCCTCAGGGCCTTTGCACGTGGGGACCCACGTATCTGCAGGGCTTTCTTCTTTTCCTCCTTCACGTCTTTACTCAACATCAGCTTCTCAGGCTTTCTCTGGCCAGTGATCTAAAATTACTACTGCCACCCCACCTCCCTTTGGTGCTTTATTTTCCTCCTTAGCATCTGTCTAACATACTATATATTCTTATTTCTACTGATAGCTATCTTCTTCCACAGAAGAAGGATGTAAGCTCCACGAGGCAGGGATTTTTGGCTGTGTTTTTCTTTGCTGTATCCTTTGCACCTAAGAGCAGTGCCTGGCACACAGTATAAAATCAACACATACTTGTCGAATGAATAATTGAAAAATGTGTGATGCATGTCATAAGAAATAAAGGTTATTAGTGAAAGCATGACTAACCAAGGCGTGTGAGCCTAATGTCGAAAAAATTCATTTGTTATTGGGTTTTCATGGTCATCTGTCTTTGGAGGAACTGACTTCATTTTCCACAATGACAGGCCTGATTTATTTTAGTAATGTGGAACTTCAGAGACCAGTGTTCACAAGGAAGGAAGAGAATAATGACAAATACAGGTAGGTATTAAATAATGTTCATTGTTTGCCATGTTAGGTGAGTTAATGATTTAAAAAAATCATTAGTACCGAGCTTACTATTCATAGAAAACTAAAATTAGAAATGAATAAAAAATGTTGCTCATTGATTGAATTAGCTGTGTCTGGCACACAGTACTGTAATATATAAAGTGAGTTAGACTTGGATGCCATCCAAGAGGGCTTAGTTACTGAAATAGTTTCATTTCTAGTGATTCTATAGCACAGGCTTAGGTATCCAGTTAGGGATAGTTAAACTTAGATGTAAAATAAGGAGTAGTAATGAAGGTATTATTTTCAGATGTGAAAATTATAAATCCTTAGTTGTTATTCCTTATTAGCTTACAAAGTAAACAGTTAATAAATGAAACTACAAGCTCTCAAATGAACTATGAATGCAAAGGGCAATAAACACTAGATAGAGGTGGAGGTGGAGTGATATAATGGAAAGGTAAAGGTCAGGAAACCTGGATTCCAGCTTTCTCTGTGCCCCTGTTGGCTGAGTGACGTGGGGTGAGTTACTTAACCTCTCAGTTACCTCAGTTGTAAAATGTGGATGATGGACTGATGGGCTTCAGTGGTCCTCTAGGAATTGTAAATCCTTTTGACTTTAAGCTTAACCACTGTAATAATGCCTCCCCGCCCCTCACCCTGCCCCAAAGATGTCCACATTAATCCCTGAAACTTGCATATATGCTGTTACAAGGCAACAGTAATGAAGATTGCTAATAAGATGTCTTAAAATAAGGAGATTATCCTAACTTATGTGCTTGGGCCGAATATAATCCCAAGAGTCCTCAAGGTGTAGAAGAGGGAGGCAGAAGTGGGAGTGCTGGGGTGATGCCACATGAGAAAGATCGGACTGAGCAGTTGTTGGCTCTGAAGATGGAGGAAGGGGCCACGAGTCAAGGAATGTGCGCAGCCGCCACAAGTTGGAAAGGGCAAGGAAACTGCTTTCCCCGAGGGCCCTCACAAAGGAACACAGCCCTACAGACACCATGATTTTGGCCCAGTGAGATCTGTGTCAGACCTCTGACCTCCAGAACTGTACTAAATTTGTATTGTTTAAGCCATTAAGTTTGTGACTACTCGTTACAGCAGCAACAGGAAACTAATACATTCATGATATGTATCATAACTAGTAAAGCTGGACTCGACTTTATCACAGATGCAGGGTTTTAACTAAAAATACTATATTCAAGTATTTTTATAAGATCTTCAGAGGCAGAAGTAGTCAGATACCGTGAGAAGTTTGTACAAATGTCATGGGAAAGAGTCTATGGGAATAAAATGTTTACTAGTGATTCCTGTGAAGAGTAGACACCTCTTAATCAGGAAAGAAAGCAGCAAGAGAAGAGACATTAGAGGGGTGGTACAGTTTACTTACCTATAAACTGAAGGGCTGGGCTAAATCATTCTAAACTCCTCTAGCTCTGACCTGAGATAGTAAAACCCTGACAGATGCTAACGTGGGTCTCTGACACTCCACCATCCCCACAGTTAAAGAGTAAAGATTTTATTTATTTTTAGAGAGGGGGAGGGAGGGAGATAGGGAGGGTGAGAAACATTAATCAGTTGCCTCTCACACATGCCCCAACCAGGTACCCACTGGGATGATGGAACCTGTAACCCAAGCACGTGCCCTGACCAGGAATTGAACCAGCGACCTTTGGCTTTGCTGGACGACACCCAACCAAATGAGCCACATGGGTCAGAGCAAGCGTATTGATTTTAGGAAGTACTACAATTATCTTTAATGTCTGATGGTCAAGCTTCACAGAAAGCTCTGACTTAGACAAACAAGGAAGTGGCTCTGAATTTTAACTCTGACACTCTTGCTTACGGAGGTTACTTGGGAAAACTGTTGAGCTTTCTTACTCTTCTGCCACTTCCCCGACGGTAAACTTTTAGCTAGGTGTAGTTTCTAAGGAATGAATTATTTTAGATGTCTAAAGGTTTATTCCTTTAGGTAACAAACTTTCAATACATTTGACGAAACTATTTCTAAAAAGAAACACGTACCTTTTATACTTCTACGAAAAACGAATGGGTACCATATTATCTTTTCTCGAAAAGAGTCCTATTACTAACATTAATTACTATAGTGGGCTGTCAGCAAACTGTGGGCTGGAGGCTGCTTTTGCAAGGTTTGGGGGATAGGAGTTTTTACATTTTGAAAGGGTTGTTAACAAAACAAACAAAAAAAGATGTGACCTAGACCCTAGGTATTTACTATCTGGCCCTTTACAGAAAGGTTTGCTGACTCTTGCTCTCCAAAAGGATGTGTAGCCTCGTCACAACTAGATTGTCACCAAAGGAAGCACATCTATCTTGGCAGTGTCTGACAGGAAGCTCAAATATTTGTGGAAAAACAAAGGCCAATGGCATTTAAAACTCTCCTGGTGCTCGTTGTTACACACTCCCAGTCCCTTTCAGGTTTCTGGCAATCACTGTGTCTGCCCGCAGCGGTCTCTCCCCCCTCTACTCTCGCTTCCCCAATGTTGGCCTGGATATATGAACTTAAGAGACATTTTAAGCTATGAAAGATTAAGTTGATTATGTGAAGACCCTAGAACCATTTTCCAAGTAAAACCCAGTTTGGTGCAGGGATTGGGTGACTTATTTTGATTTTCTCAAGTCCTTTTTATTTATTTCTATGTTCTCTGCCATCCTTTGGAAAAGTGAGGTTGCGGGGCAGATGAGGCCTTACTGCAGTATGGCCTGTTCATCTTTTTAATTTTTGTAATATAAAAATAGCACTGTATCTGAAAAGCTACTCACCAAAATATTAAACTGAAGCTGTATGAGTGGTAGGATTTTCTTGGAATATATATTTTTAAATAATGAATAGTTTTATAATCAGAAAAGCCATTTTCATTAAAAAAACAAATTGAAAGGATCTCTCTAGTTAATCTCACCAACCTAATTCAATTATTTCCATTTAGCATATTTTCTTTCATTATTGATCACTTTTAAAAATGGTTGTAAATATTGTGTTTATCAGTTTTTATTTTGACTCACACCATGGTTACTAGAATAATGTAAAAGAAGTTGCAAGTGTGAAATACTGCAGGACTGCCAACAATCAATATGGTGAAAGGTGACCGATCACCGCCTTTTTGATCTCTGCTCCACTCCTTTAACACGAGTTCAGAAGAAGAACATCCAACCTAGATAGTATTCCGGGCCACAGAACCCTGTATTTCATTTAGTCCTCACAACAACTCAGGGAGGCAGGCACATCCCATTTTGGGGGTAAAAATGACGTGGCCAAACTCACTCGGCTCGCCAGGGCAGAGGCTTTGTAACCCGGTCAAGAAAAGAGGAGCACGCGCTTCCGGTACCAGTAGGGCATTCACCATACCCTGGCCTTGACGTCCCCTCACCTGACAAACTCATCCTACCTCCTCCACCACATCAATGCACCCTGCGGGCTGGGGAAACCTGTAGCGCATTCCAAAAGGGGGCCCCCTTCATCCCCAAGGCCCCAGTCCCAAGGTAGAGAGAAGAGCACACACTTCGCTCCCTCCCCCAGCCGGACTCAGCGTACTGGCCCCAGACTAACCTGACCAGGTCTGTCATGCAGGAGCCCACCACCACTACCGCCGCCACCTCCTCCTGCCTCAGCCTCCCGGGTTCCCCAGACGCAGCCATGGCTCTAAGGTGGCGCTCTCCAATCTGGAGGGTGCCCTTTACCCTTTGTCCGACCCCGTAACCAGAGACGCCGCTCCTACGCTCCCTAACTACCCGGGCCTTCCAGACGTCTAGGCGGGTCGCCCACCTGAATGCCCGAATAACTCCGCCCCCCGACTGTCCCCAGTTCTTCCAGGAATCGTCTCCCTGCACTGCCTCTCCTTATAAGGCCCTTGCGATAGTTCCAGCCTCCGCGCTGTTCCCCACGCGCGAAGAAGGCGCCGAGGAAGGAACTATCAGGCAGTACGGGGACGCCCTCCCGAGCGGCGGCTCCGTGCAGCCCAGGACGCGCACGCCGCCCGGCTGGGCCGCAGACGGGGCGGGGCAGGGCGGGGCGGACGTCCGGGAGCGCGCACGCCTCGGCCCGCGGTGCGCGCGCAGGTCGGTGCGTCGTTCGGGGGCGCGCTCGGGTAACCTGTACCCCAAGTAGTCGCCGGTTACCGAACGGATTAAGTTCCAGGTACCAAGACTGGGGCTGGTGTGGGGAGGTTGGATCCCGAGTCGCACAGGTGGTGCTGAGGACCGTGGTTTAAATGTGCCCAGAGCTCGCCTCCCCTTCCTGTGGAGAAGGCCCCTGTTCCAAAGATGCCCTGCTCATCCCCTCACGCTGGTTCCCTCAAGAGGGAGACCCCAAGGCCAGGAGTTACTCTTTCTCCTCACCTAGCCCGCCCCCTGGTCCCGGATTAACCTGACTTCCTCCTTCTCGCTTGATGGAATCATACAATTTAGGAGAAGGGAGGGTGCCCCTTTTAAATGTCTCCTAGAGAGGGGTGGTCATTCTTTGGATCTCAGCCGGCTTGTTTTACTTAAATGCTGCCCCTTTGAGAAATTCTCCAGTGTAACTTCCTTCGTGCGTTGCATGACGTTGACGTGACGCAGCTGGATGCTACCCCTTTCCGTTCCATGACGTCAGCAGGGCACATGTTTCCGTGTTTGTCATCCCATCTTAATTGCAAGAAACTGGACGACGCGGTAGACGTCTTTGTATTCCCCAGGAGGCCGATCAAAAGACCTTATGTGACCTTATTTCCAGTCAGCAGACACCTGTAAAAATTGTATTTCTGCATTTTCCTTCTGTAATATGTCAAAATCAGGAAATACAAATTCCTGACTGACATTCAAGGGATGCTGGCCACCATACATTTTTGCCTGTCTGACATGTATTACGGTGCTGGGAATTGTAAAAGCTACTACTGGGGGATGGTCCCCCCAGCCATATCCCTGACTCAGAGGGACTGCACCAGCGGAGCATCATCTATTCTGTGACCTCGGATTTTGGAGTATTTTTTTCTCTCTCCTTTAGAGAAGTCATAGCATGTCACAGTTGAAACAGATTTTAACACTGCATGAAACCTTGAACTGTCAAAGAATTGTATTGTGGCTCTTCTAGAAACAAAGAAATTCCTTCAGGTGTCATTCTAAGGTCATGACAGTTGCTGAAATAGAATGAATGGGTTGTAGGCACCTTAAGTATAGTTTGGCTTCTGGAGCAGGTTGGTTCCCTTTAGCATTTGACTGGTGCCATTGGTCAGGCCAATTTCAGCAGTGGTCTGATTTGTTTCTAGTTGTAAAGCAACCACGGGCTTAAATTCATGCCGTGTTGTCAAAATTTTACAAGATGTTTACCTAAAAAAATCACTTTGATGCTTTTTTCTTTGGTGATTCAAGTTGTGTTTATTTGGGAGGAAGATAACAATAGAGTACTTTGAGAAAGATCTGGATTTGCATTCTGGTCCTTCTGCTTGCCTGGTTGGTGACTTTGAACAAGTTAGTCAGTCTTGCTGAGTATTAGTTTTCTTATCTGTGAAGTGGATACTACCATGCATTAGATGTTTATTCTTACTCTGTGATGACATGTTTGAATGGTGGAGGGAGGTCGTCTGTTGAGTGTTCAGAAGAGGAGTTTGTTTTATATTTACAGAGAGGATGACTTAGGTTTTAAAGTATAAGGCTTTTACTGACTCAAAGACACCTCTGTGTGTCATCGCCCAGGAGGGTCACAGTATTATTATTTCTTGAAAGATCACTGCAGTTCTTCCCTTTATTACTGTCTGAAATGATTAAAACTGGTACTAGTTTTCAACATTTATTTCAGCAGGAACATGTAAGTTCTTGTATGGTATAATACATGGAAACTAGAACCAGAACATCATTTACTTGTAACTTGCAGGAAATTAACTGCTTTTGATGTGGGGTTATCCTTTCAGACTGAGGAAGAAAATGATCATCTATTTTGACTTAATCACCTCTGAAAATAGAGGCTTTCATTTAGAAATCTATTAAGAGGAATTCATGTACTACTACTCCCTCTGCCACCCCCGTGGGTTTCCAAGTAATTTAGATATGGCTTATTGGTTTTATTTTTGTATTTTCAAGTTTAAGGACTTCTTAGTGCCTTACAAAGACTTTTAGATCTGCATTTGTGTTGCCAAGTATCTGGATGGGTGTATGTTTTCATGATTTAATTGTTAAGTAGATTTTTGCTGCATCTATTCTTCAGATATTCTGTCCTGTACCAAAATTTTTGGAGGGCATATTCTCTCCACACATAAGTATTTCTCTAGCTTTTGTCTCCTTATTCATTTATTTATTTAGAAATGTTTATTGGGTGTTTAGTTTGAGATCTCTCCAGGAAAGAGATCACTAAGCAGGTGGTTATAGTACACTGTGCAGGAACAGTTAAGAACAGACGTATATCAGAAGAAAGTAATTTCTAGTAAGTTCCAATTGTAAGCAAGTTATGCTTGTTCTAGGTTTTCATATAGTGTGATCAGCAGCATTCTTGCTCACAGAAGGAGGATCCCTAACCTAGTGGTAGGTGGGTTTTGCATGTTAGAGGGAGAGGGAGAGGATCGTCAGTGAAGGCCCCTTAAGGCCTCAACTTAAGTGGAACCTGCCAGTTGTAAAACAGAATGGGGCAGCGAGCACTAAGTGGAGCGTGGCAGTGTAGAAATCAGCTTCGGAAAGGAGGAGGGAATTGGATTTCAAGGGTGTCCGCTGTTCCCGAAAGGCAGTGGTGTAGTCTATGTCCCAACTAAGTGAGGAGCAGGGAGATGGTTTCGATGGGAGAAGCTGCTTAAGACAGGAAGTGAGGCATTGCATTTATTCCTGCCAAAGAAACCTCTTCGTGCTGGGCCAGTTTTCGGGAAGCTTGTTATATGGAGTTCGTTTGGATACTCTGATCACCATTCTCTCTTTCTGCTTTCAGTGGAGATTTACAAGTCCAGTTAAAATGTCCCCAGAAGTGGCCCTGAACCGAATTTCTCCAATGCTTTCCCCATTCATATCTAGTGTGGTCCGCAATGGAAAGGTGGGACTGGATGCTACAAACTGTTTGAGGATAACTGACTTGAAATCTGGGTATGTAACAGAACCAAACCTTTACCTAATGGAAAGTCTTTTCTGCTAGACTCATGAAGATTGGCCACGGAAGTCCATCACGTCATGATTTTATCACATGTCGATTCAGTTGGTTTTGTCCAGTTCTTGACCTTTTGTGTTTTAAGTTGTTTTTTTTTGTGTTGTGGGCCATTCCTTTATGATCATTGCTTTGTGTCCTTTGCAGCGGGGAGGGGGGGCATATATCTTTGTTAACAGTATGCTGTGTTGAATTTGGCAAGTGTATTTTTTTATTCACTGATTCGTTTTCTAGTTTTGTCTTCTGTAACCCAGTATGCACTATAAGAATTGGGTTTTGAGATTCTGAATTTGACACCATTTGATAATCTTTCCTAATAGGAAAATTATAATAGGTAGTGAAAATGAGTCATTTTTCATAGTGGGGTCGAAATGGTGAGATCTTATGCCTACAGAGGTGGCATTAAAAAAAACTCAACTTTTTATTTTGAAGTAAATTTAGATCGATATGAGATTTATAAAAATTCTACAGAAAATTAATATTGTTACCATACTATTAATTTTTCTACAAGCTTTATTTGAATTTTGCCCGTTTTCCCACTAATGCCCTGTTTTGGTCCAGGATCTCCAGGATATAAACTGCGTTAGCTGTCATGTTTTCTTAGTTTCCCCAGCCTGTGGCAGTACCTAACTCTGTTTTTCATGATTCTAAAGATAGCACTGGTTAGTGGTTTTGTAAAGTGTCACTCAGTATGGGTTTGTCTAGTGTTTTCTCTTTATTAGAATGAGAGATGCAAAATAAAAAAAAATGCACTTTTTGCAAGAATCCTACGGAAGTGATGTTGCACCTTTTCAGTGCGTCACATGTGCACGATGTTCATATATGTTGTTACTGGCATGCTAATTTTGACCGCTTGGTTAAGAATGTGAATTCCAGGTTTCTTCTCTCTAAAGTTAAATGATTTTCCCTTTGTAAATAGTAAGCATCTTGTAGAATGTTGCTTTGGGACTGTGTAGATGTTCTGTTTTTCACTGTGCTTTCGACCGTTGATTTCAGCATTTGTGGCTGGTTCTTGCCTGCAACTGTTTTTACTTTGGTGCCTAAGAGTGGTTTTCTCTTTCCCTTATTCCTCCCACATGTATTAATTTCAGTTCTGCTATAAGGAAGTAGTGTCCCTTCCCCTGAGATTATTTATTTATTCAGATATTTATTTATATCTGTATGAATTTTTATGTATTTATCTTGTCCGGTGGGTTAATATCCAGATACTGTCTTCTTTCATTTTATTACTCAGTTGATTTAGCCTTTGTCATTGGGAGCTCATCAAGTTGGCTTTTGTGTCCTTTTGACATCTCCTTCCTTTTTTGAACACTTTCTTACTAGAAATGTTACATTCTTGATTCTCTGTAGCTTTTCTTTTTAGGCTCTTTGCCTTTTGCCTTCTACAAACCTTGCTTTTTTTGACTTAGCAGAAGACATGGATATAGGGATAGAGACGGACATTCTTTAGTAGTGAGATAAAGAAGGCTAAGTTAGTTGGGCATGTCATTGGAACAGTAGGGTTCTTTTTCAAAGATCTGGTATTGTCTTCAATTTCATTAATCAATAGGTATGGGGTTTCTTTCTGGGGTGGAGAAAATG